GTTGTTGAGATGAGAAGACAGTCGGAGCGCTGCCCTTTCTAGGATGCTTTGCCCAGAGAATCAAGATACTTCGAATGGAAAGCCGAAACATCATGTTCATGTCTCGCCTGAAACGAATTGACGTGCTATCTATTGAACGACAGTGTTCCGGTATCGGCATAGCACATCAACAGCTTCCATCGCATTCCGTCTCGCTGCAATATGGAACCACGAAATATATGGCAAGTGTGAGGGTTTCGTGCGTCGACAAACAAGTTCAAGAATGTTGTCTTTAATTCAAATATAAACAGCTTGCACGGTCAATAAATAGATCAGCCAAGGTGCCTTTCCCCGCACGTGCTCGAAGCGAGTCTCCAAACCTCTAAGAAATACTTAAACGTTCGTAGAAACTTCATAACGTCGCCGTCTCTTTTACTTTGTACCCTGCCGCTCTACACTGGCTTTAATTAATTTACCACCGAAATAATTTTGGCTTCTCCCACCCGTATCCACGGGATGCCAGGTTCGTCATAACCGTGCGGTGGGAAGGAGCTTGTGCGGCTTGTCAATAGATTCGGTGTGTCGCGCTCCTGCACGCCATGCGCCGTTTAGTTGCTGTGCCTGGAGTATGAAACTCGGAGCATCAGAGTAGGGGTAAAGGAGTGTGGACTTAAAGGGGAGCTGCAATCATACTTAAGCGTCTACCTCTTTTGCGGTTTCCACGTCTCTTTGGGTTCGGGTAAGCCAGCGGGCGAGAATAACTAAATATCAGTGAGTCATATTTCAACCGGACGACGCGGAAACCTCCTCCACCTACGAGGGCGACCCGCGTTGCCGAAAGCGCGGAATATGTGACGTCTTTGGTCCTGGGCTTACTACTGGTCAGAGCCGCTAAAAGCTTTTTTTTAGTCGATACAAAATATAAGTATCGCGAACCGTTTCAATTATTTATAAAAGTAGTTTTTGTTCAGTATTTTAGATCAGAAAAGAAACAAATGCAGTTTATAAAGTACGGAAACAAGAAAAGACCCGTCGACAAACCCGCCACCAAGCGGTGAAAAAAACGGCGCATACAGTAAAACCTCGTTATAACAAAGTTGAAGGAGCGGTCGTAATTATTTCGTTATAACCATTAGTTTGATATAGCCAATGTCCATTTCTTCCCACTATTAGCAAGCAAGGGGAATTATGATTGCTTTGTTATATCCCGTTTTGTTATAACAAGGTTTTACTGTATTTTACTGTACTAGAAAGGCGTAGTGGGATGAGGCTCCGACGAACAATGGGCTTAGAAAGGTCCCGGATGTACGCGGTGGCGCTGCGGTCGTATACTGGCTCGAGGATCCGACCGGTTCCGAGCGTTCCCAAGGCTTTCGGCGCGGGCTTGGCTGGCGATTTGACCCTTTGGCGGTATGGCAGCGCGAAGTGGCTCCCGTTCTGAACTGATCTTTACCCCGTGTTTACCGTCGTTTGTGGCCAATGAAGTGTTATGCCGAATTAGTCTTTAATCGCGCGGCAAATGCAATGCGAGCTGCCCTGGCCGCCCACTTCATACAGCCTAGTCAACACGTGCTTTAGTGGCACCCTCTCGAGCCGTCGACACTGAGTGCGGCAGCCGTGAGCGCTCGATGAGCTCACTACTTCACGGCCACTCAAACCAGGACCTACGACGTCATGAAGGATGTTATTTTTTGCTTGTTTTTGTAAGTCTAATTTGCCTATAACTTTTAAAATAAAGCAAAATTGGAGAAAAGTTTCTTTAAATTACTACGTTCAGTGCGCTCAGGTTCGGTCCAAATTAAAAACCAGTCCAAAAGTTATTGCAGGGCCACTTTAACGCTCCCAATGACGACAAACGAGCAAAAAACATGTCTGCAGCACGCTGCCGGCCAGCCTCTGCAACGCTCCAAAAGGTTAATTTTCCGTGTCCCAATTGATGGTCGTCCGGCAGTCGCAATCACGGAGCGGGGAAGTGCAATTTAGCAATTGTTGTAGAGATCAGTAAAAAAATATGGAATGCATACCCTCCTAGCATCCATCAGGTAGGGATAAGCATTCTTTGCAGTCTATATGCCCATCAATATCAACACATGTAGCCATTTGCAGGCAGTCGCATCCTTTCGAAGATCAATCTGGCCTTCGTCAGGCACCAGCTTTCGCTCTCAGCACACAGCCACTGTTGGTGGGCTTCGAGGCTGCTCGCATCTTCACCCTCCACAGGCGGGGCAGCCCCGGTCTGTAAATGTAGAATATGAATATGGCAGGTATTATTTGATAACACTTTATGTTTTGGCCGTGTAGAGAAAATCTGCATTCCATTTTCTAACATATCTGTTATGAAATAACAAGGTCAGGTGGAACGGCTCGAGTTCGCTGACTGAAAGACAGAGGGCTTAGCCTGAACCAATATCCTAGCAGCCTTCGATATTCGTGTGGGGGGAGAGAAGGCTGAACCTCTAAAGATGTCTTCAAATGATTCTCTAATTGCTTAACTCCAAAGTTTCAGGCTGCTGCACTTTAACGTTCTGAACTTTTTCCAACATATATTTGCGCTGTCGCTAACCATGTTCCATTTGCCAATTTTTTACACGCCCCTTCTCCTCCAATCAGAACAGCACGAGAGTCCGCCGTGAACAGACTTGGCATCATCGTGTGTCATATATCCCCGATGATTGCCTTCCCCACTAAGATGCATTAAAGCCAAGGCTCGAGCACAAGCTCATAGCATCGCTAGATGGTCGCACTGCACGAACCCTCGTGCAGCCTGAGTATCTACTAGTACTGGTAAAAGCGAGCGAGTTGAAAATGAATACTTAAAATCGAAAGAATAAAGCGCGAGGGACAAGCCCAGGACAACCACGTAAAGCCTGGTTCAAACAGTTGCGTTTGACCGCGTTGCGGCTGCGAGAAACCAGGACATCCCAGCTGCTTATATCGCGTGCCAAGATGATTCTTTGAATTCGAATCCACGCTTCATACGAAGCACAGATGTGCCGGTGACTCGTTGTCGGTTCTAAACGCAACGCAGACAAACACACTCAAACGCAAGTGTCGGAACCGACCTTTACGGTACAGGCTCACAGTAAAGCTGTGAGCCCGAACCGTCTCGCACGTCTAGCCTTCGCTTTAGTACATCTCAGGATGAGACGGAATGTATCATAATAGAACCGATGTGGTCTCACCATTCTGAGCAGAAGTGCGTGAGTAACCGATGATATTTTCGTGGTCGCTTGCACGTAAACAACTAAGGAGCTTGTACACAGCGCCGGCATTCATCTGGCTTGAAAACAACTTGAGCGTTGGCTTGGCTTGGATGTCAGCTGCCCATTGTGCTTACTTGAACTTCACGAAATCCTCTAAATTGAGCAGGCTGCTTCTTGACTTCTGCTGTCGGCGCTTATGTCGGTTTCCGAGTTCGACGATTCGGAAATCATGGGTGTACCACCGCAACACCCTCTTAACACGATTTCGGTAGCCGTAGGGTGTAAAAAGGATGTACGAAGGGTGTAGGCCTTTCCGTACACCCTTGAATATTCAAAAATCATGTAAAAATGGTGTAGGAAGGGTGTGAGCTCGGAAAAACACCATTTTAACACGAACATGGGTGTTGAAATTTTTAGTGTGTATCTGAGTGTCGTCTGCTCCTTTGCAACGTCGTCTGCTCGCAACGTTGTCTGCGTCTGTCTTACCTTTCCTGCGACTTTCGGAAATTACGAGCGAGCTCGACTTCGCCTTTTAGAGAGGGCAGACGAAATAACTCGAGCGGTACGTTGTTTTTGTCTAACAACTAGCAGACTCGCATCAAGGAGGGAAGTCAAAGGATTCACTGGCGAGGTGTCCCGAGGCGCCGAGGTTTGTTTGAAGAACCGAGAGTGAGCGTGTTAGTGTACGCAAGTTCCCTCCCAAATACTTTTTCCCTCCTTTCGTGTGCGGCGAGACCCCTCATTCTTTAACGGCGTCGGCGGGTTGGCGCAGTTAACGTCGTCTGCTTTACGTCTGCTAGCCAAAGCGATGGCTGCTTTACCTTTCCTGCGTCGGTCGGAGATTCACAGTTTTTTCACCGGCGAGAGTCACCGTTGCCTCGGGAAACAAGGAGATAACAAGAGGAAGAAATTGACCTCTAAATCTAAAACTGAGGTCAGCGATCAAAGTATAATACGGGAAGGGTTCACAAGGGTCGCGGGGGCATATTCCATTCAGCACGCCAGCCGGTCGTGGGCAGACGGTCGCCGAGTCGCGGAGTGCCTGCTAGGCCTAACTGCCGTGCTCGCTTGGTCGCGTACGGTGGAATCGAGGCCGTTGGAGCTTATCCCGGGTGTTTGTGGATCCAGCGTTCTTGTTCGTCGTGGTCGGTTGCAACTACTTTTTACTTTTTTCTTGCTGCTTGAAGTCGGGACGCGTGAGAAGCGCACGTAAAAAAATAAACGTCCGTGGGTCGTCGCGACCGCGACGCTGTCGGCCATGCTGATTTGATCGTAATAAGTGCGTATGACAGCTTTGGAGCTGTCGTAGGATTTTGTCGTAACCTGCGCAAAACCTAACGAAAATTTCGTTTCGTTAATACGAATTTGTTCTCAAGTTTTGTCTTACGCATATTTTTGGCGTAAGATCGTTTTGTGAATCGGGCCTCTGCGCTTCCGAAAGTCGCAGGAAAGGTAAGACAGACGCAGACGACGTTGCGAGCAGACGACGTTGCAAAGGAGCAGACGACGCTCAGATAGGGGGTCGCGATCAGCCAATGAGGGCTCGGCGTACTGACGTCACCGCTACCCCCTGCGCAAGAAGCAGACGAACTTGCCCTCCGCATAGTAAAGATCAGTGGGTCAACCTCGTGCGAAAGGAGTAGTATTTACATGCTATACTGTCCAGCCCCCCCCCCCCCCCCCCCTTTCTTTCTACTGAATACTCCTAACAGCAACGTTCCAGGAGTGATATATTCAAAGCAGAGGGCGTTAATTCCCGTTATGAAAAATGAATGTGTTGTTTATTAAAAATTGATTATTTGAAGCGTTGATACGTACCGATGCCGGCCATTGTTGCTAAACCGTCGTCACTCACAGCCGCCGCTCTTCTTCCCAACACGGGAAAGCAGCTGAATCCTGCCGCGGTTCGGTGAGAGGCACCAAGGGAATTCGGCCAGCATTTCTGCTTTGCCTGCAAATACGAACGGAGGACGCGACGGGCTGCAGCCTGCAGCATTTCGAGAAGCGCGGAATTTTTGCGGAGCCTTCTGCGATTCAACGGGCACACTGCGGCGTCTCTGACATCACTTCCGCTCGTGGGTTTTACCCGTACGTCGTCGGCTTTGTGCCAGTGCGTTAATCAGCCCAGGTGTAAACCAGGATTCTTTGTGAAGCGATCAACCACAGGAAAAACACTGGACTCGTTCGTGTTACAGCTGCTATTTCGGATCTTCTTTTTTTTTATCACTGCTGTCTGCCTGCGAGATTTATTCTCTGTAATTTATATACGTCGGATTGCACCGATATCAAAATCGCATCTGTGACCTGGTTGGTGTTGTCTTTTTTTTAAAGTTTCCCACCTTAATTTGGTTGAGTACCATAATACAATGTATGAAATATGCTCATACTAAAATGCTATAATATTCAACTGATGAGACAAAGTTATAAGCAGTCTAGGGTGCCTCAATACCTCCGTTGCCATAGTGTGTGTGTGCGGGGGGGGGGGGGGGGGGCATTTTTAGTTATAGCAAGTTCCACCTCTGTATGAAAAAAACGATAAATAAAACTTTCGTCCATATAACGGTACCACAAATTAGTAAATGTTGTAAACGTTTTACACACTAGAACGTAGTAGGCCAAATACGGCACGATTTCTTCTTCCTCCGTCAAGGCCGAATCAGGTGTAGCACAGAAAAGCATGCTGGAACTGCCTCTGCTGCTGCGTACAAGGAGACCCATTTCGCATTTTTTTCAGTTCGAATATAGACCTCGTTGAAAATTGTGTCATTTACCGTATTTTTTTTTTTTTGAATCTCAGAGAGCGCAATTTTACAATCAACCTAACGAAGACAGAGAACACGCAGTCTACAACGAAACGAAAAGTTTTATATTATAGTAAAAGCTGCACAGCAGCGGTATACAGAAAGTAGTATTGAGAACGAAAATACCTTGGAGTGTTTCTGACACCTAACCATACATGGAAAACTCGAGAGCTCCCGGGTTCGATACCTGGACCAGGCGGATTTTTTCGGTCGCTCACCAGTCACCTAGCTGTGTTTGGAGATTTATGTTTGTCCTTTTGTCCCTTTGTTCCCCTTCTCCAGGGAATTATTTTCGACATTCTTGTCCAGCTCGCTTGCCCCTTTGCATTTAATTGCATTATAATGGAAAACTCACATGTCAAGCACAGTTACAAAAAGAAAGAGTTTGTTTTCTTATGTTAAGCAACATTGATATTGTTAATGTGGACAACATAATTCTATTATTACGGGACACAAAGGTAGGGGAATTCAACTAGCTCAACAAAATACCGTAACGTCATTTGAACTTCGGTTCTTAGGACGCAAAAATTTTTACCCAAAGATCCTTTCACAAGTCGCCTTCTAGATCACTAGGTTTCGACATTTGAGAAAAGGTCACGGGAGTGACGTAAAAGGATGAAGGAACCTATCCTAGCAACACATGCACCGTTGCTCTGCCCATTTTGACGCCTCTACGTCATCGCGAAATTGACGCCTGTCCCCCGTTTGAGGGACGTGCAAAGCCATCCTCCGGCGAGACGAAGTAGCTAGGCAGTCCTCGCCGAGGCATACCTACACGCATAAATCGGGGTTGGCTTTACTAGAAAGCGGGGAGCAGTTTCTGCGTTTAGTAGAGCGACAGTCACCAACCCTGTGTGGCGCTGACCGTCACATATGTTCCAATGCATGTAAAGGTCTCAGAAAGTAACATAAACCCAATGTGTTTTGACAAAACGAACCGCTTTTTGGGTTCATTTTTAGGACGTTTAGAAGTTAATGAAAGAAAACGCTTTTGAATATTATGCGGGATGCACGATTTCATCAGAAGCCTATAAGACTTACTAATTCATGACCAACTGTCTTAAAAGCCGTTCTGGGGTTTCATCACCAGAAATTTGTGCCGTCGCATGCTTGCACCATCTCTTGGCGGGTTACGGCAGCGCTCCCATAGAGGCCCATGTATTTCATATACCGATATGGTTACAACGCCGGAACGCTACGCTTTGAGCAATTTGATATGCTACTACTCTACTCTGTCATATACCACTTCTCTTGTGCCAAACTTTCAAGAAGACGATGTGTAAACTGCAGGTTGTTCAGTCGAATAAACGTTTTGATATATTGCCACTACGCATACTATTTAAGTTAATCGAACTCTACAGTTTATTTTTGAGTATAACAAAAGTGTTATGACAGTACGAATTAATTAGGATTCCTCCCCAATATTACGGCAGAATATATAGTGTCCAAGATGTGCATTACATCTGAGGAAAAATATATTTCCCCAAGGGCACCTCACACTAATGTTTGAGAAACAACAAAATTCAAACAAGCAAAATTTAAAAAAGAAGATACAAAAATTACAAGATTAGCCATTTGACTACAGTAAACCACAAAAAGCGATAATGTGCCGGGTACATTTTGTTTTTTCTCAAAATTAGTTTCTTGGGTTCCTGAGACCAATTTACCAAATAAGGCGGATTCATTCTCGTTTAGATGTTTACTATGATTTCCAGTATTCTGCTACTGATATAAGCTAGAAAACAAAACAACAGCTTGTATTGAGATAATATACAATTATAAACGAAATTCAAAATACATTTTACTTATGAATATTGCTGCGTGATTACAACAGTAATCACGTAGCAATATTCATAATCACCGCAGTGCATCCAGGAATGGAAGCACTGCGGTGATTGTGCGATTTATGAGAGGATGATCGTTCTTGTGAACTTAACATTCGATGTCAAGCGTAATCTTTCGGTGCGTACTACATATTCACAGTAGATTAATTATCCCAATCGCCCTGATTACAAACAACAAAAAAAAAACGAAAAAAAAAACGTACTGAAATATCCGACTTGTTATTACATTCTTCGAAGAGACCAAGATTTTGCAATAGCAGAGGCTTGTGTTCGGCGGCCTTAAAGTCTGTGTTTCTTCGCCAAAGAAACCTTCGGCCGATCTGAAAATATTCCCGAGGCGCGGGTGCCCGAATTAGAAACCATGAACGAATTCCTAAAATCAATCCAACAATGTCCACTTCGAGTCAAGTTTACACAAATATGGCTTATTGAGAGGATTTTCCACGGTGGCCGCTTATTCTCAAGGGCCCTAAATTTTGTATTTCAACACCAGTTAAGTTCTTGGCTGACCTCAAAAAGCTCCTGGATTAGGCGCGGCTGCAAAACGAAATTCAAAAGATGAACGAATGCGCATAAAAAGCCAAACAATCCCCACTTTGAGATCGATTTTGTCAAGAAGGATTCGTTTTTGAATACTTGTCGTAGTACCAAGATCGGCTAGAGGGCTTTAAAATTTATATAAAAGAACTCGGTTCTCCTCAAAAAGTTCCCTTGTGAGGCGCGAGTACATAAATTTCAAAAGACGAGCGAATTCCTAAAATCAGCCGGACCATCCTCACTTTGGGACCAGTTTCTCATAAAGAATTGACTTTGGAGCACTTGCCATAGTAACAGGATGGGCTCGAGATTTCTAAACCTTATACTTTTTCTTCAGTTGGGACGGGAATGTCCTCAAAAAGTAGCATGGCGAGGAGCATGTACCCAAATTTCAAAGGATGAACTAATCCGTAAAAACAGCCGATCCATCCCCAATTGGAGACTGGTTTTCCTTGAAAAACAAATTCGCTTTCGAGTATTTGCATAGTCCCAGGATAGGCTCGAGGGCTTTGAATTTTATATTCTGCCTTTAGCTCGAAACTGGGTTGTTGTCAAAAAGTTCCTTGGAGTGGCGCGGGTGACCAAATTTCTAATGATAAACGAATGCCTAAAATCAGCCGAACCATTCCCACTGTGGTACCGCTTTTGTCAAAAAGAATTCACTTTGGAGTACTTTCTATAGTACCAGGCTGGGATCGAGGTCTCTAATATTTTTTTTATATTCTATCTTTAGCTGGGAACTGGGTAGACCTCAGAAAGTTTCCTGGCGAGGCGCGGATGCCCAAAATCAAAAACATGAACCAATGCCTAGAAAACTGCCGAACCATTCTCACTTTTCCCACGGAAAGAATAAAAACACAGAAGATATACGAGGGACAGACACACACAGTCCTTTCAACGAGCTGTGTCTGTCTGTCCCTTATTGTTTCCGTGTGAACTGTACTCCTCCGACGCGCTCTACCACATGCACATCATTCGCACTTTGAGGCCCGTTTTCTCAAAAAGGATTCGTTTGCGAGTATTCGCCATAGTACCCAGATGGGCTTGAGGACTCTAAACTTTATATTCTGCGTTCAGCAGGGAACTGGATTTTCCTAAAATGTTCCCTCTCAAAACGCGCTTGCCCAACTAAAAAAAAAAAAAAAAAAATATCAAGTGCGCAAAAAGGGTCGAAGCATCCCCAATTTGACACCGAATTTTCAAAAAGAAATCGTTTTCGGCACTTTGCCAGAAAACGAAAAATGGGTAAAATAATTCCTATACCAAAAGGCAGCGAAGCAACATCTGTCTCCAACTATAGGCTCATTGCTTTAACTTCGTCGTCACGCAAAGTTTTAGAGCATATAGTTTTCAAACTTTTCAGACGAATTCTTTCTTGTAACAAGTTTCTGAGCGATTACCAACATGGGTTTCGTGAGGGCCTGTCGGCGGTGACCCAGCTTGTAGAAACTGTGCGTTTTCTTTGTGAAGTTGATGATGGTAGGGGACATGTAGATATACTTGGAACTTAAGAAGCCATTTGGCAGTGTCAGTCATAGAAAACTACTAATTAAATTGAAACTTGCTTTAGGACATAGTAAAAGTAAAATTCACGCAAGACGCAGCATACAATCGCCACCAGCCCCCGAGTAAGAACTGGTTCTCACCTTTGCCTTTGAGTGCGACCATTTACGTACGACGATTTAAAACACTGTCGGAGCCGCCTGTTCTGCAGTAGCTTGCTAGGCAGCTGGCCAATCGGCGGAGAAGAGAGCAGCCAGAATCGGGAAGCCGCATGACTACTCGTATGCGAAAATGTCAGACCAAATTAGAATTAAATATCTCAGATCCACTCCAGATCTGTAATTGGGCGTGAACAAATATCTAGTGTTAAACTGGTCGGAAATTTTTGTTTCTTTTTTGTTTGCAGACTGGAAGCAGGGCAATAAGGAACGCTCTAACAACAACAACTGCTCAATTTCGTGTCCACTTTCAATCCGGTCCTTCGCGGCGGGGCTTGAGGAGCTTTTTCAATGGAGCGGCAGTGCGCCGGGGGAGCGGCGGTCGACGCTTCGTCCGCCGGCATGTTGTGAGGAGGATCCGTGTCCGAGTGGACTAGCGCACACCAGCTTGGAGCACGTCGAACGAAGGCTCGTGCTGCAGAACCCAGGGATCCTGGGCTCAATCTCCATCCCTACCCGTTTCGATCTAGGTGAGCATCATACCCGCGTGCGGTCATTTATCACTACTGCGTGGTGCACGGTAAAGACCCCAGCATATTACTGGCTAAATTTCTCATCTACAGCTGGAGACCCCTCGCCTCTTTCCGCTAGGAGACCGAGGAGAAGGGAGTCGGGACTTCGTCGAAAATTACTCTGTCCGTCATGCCGCGCGAAACAAGCGAACACGAGCGAAGAGGACAGCCCAGGTGTCCCACCAACAATTGCGCAACGAAGGGCGAATCATCGTGTCGACTGCTTGAAAGACTTGTTTTCAAACATTCCTCGCGTTATGCGAAGCCCCACTTTGGCAGTATCCAGCTGCTACGCATAATATTGGATGGTTTTAGAAACTTCCACCGCGCTTACCCACTTACTTCACGGATCACTGGCGACAGTCGTCAGTGGCACCCACAACACCAACCACGACTGATATGCGAATTAACCACCTCGTACCTTCGTCCTCAGGTGTGTGGCGGCACCATTCCAACCGCATTCCGTGAACGTGATACCGCTATCGCTTTCGTTTCTTTGCGGATTGTGGGCGAAAAATATCACTTTTTTTGTTTGCACGAAGTCGACTAAAAAGCCGCTCAAAATTTGCAAAAAAAAAAAAAAAAAAACGCATCTCCACGTGGTGAATGATGTTGATTGGGGCGAAGCTCTGGTGGTGCTTGTCAGCGTAGACGCTGAGTCGCAGCATGCCGAGCCTTTCGTTCGTTTTCATCCATGTCACGCTGCGGTCAAATGCTCAAATGCGTATATAACCACGTTCCATACCACGGGTTCTCTATCTGACATGGA